CCCCGCAATGCTCTTGCCTCTAGACTCGGCCTCCAAATGCTCCAAATCTATTCACAATAAGTACAATACCATCAATATACGCTAATGGAATAAATTCCACAAGAAAAACGTCAAAATTAGACCAAAACCCAAAATTGGCTCAAACTCAGCCCCCGAGCCCACATCTCGAAATCCGATAAAATTCACAAAACTAGAAAGCTCATTCACTCACGAGTCTAACCATACCAAATTCATCAAAATCCGACATCGTTTGGTCTTTCAAATCCTTAAATTTCTCTCCAAATATTCCAAGCTCTAACCCCTCATTTTCACTAATTACAATGATTAAACAACGAAAAAATCACCATATATACGAGTATGAGGCTCAAGTTACTTACCTCAATGAAATCCTCTTGATTCCCTCTTCAAAACCCTCCAAAAGCTCCAAAAACCGAGTTGAAATTATGAAGAATGACCAAAAATTCGCAAAGGGTTCAATTTATACCTTTCTGCCCAGCAAAACCACATCTGCGGTCCAGATAGCGCACCTGCAGCCTCCGCTTCTGCGCCCAAAAGCCCACATTTGTGGAAGTCACTTAAGGTCCTAAAACCCGCACCTGCGATCACCTCTTCGCACTTGCGGTCTCGCAGGTGCGACCCCTCATCCGCTTCTGCGATAAAACCCCAGGCTTCCAAACCCCGCACCTGCGACTAAATTCCGCACATGCAAAACTCGCACCTACGGTTCCCAAACCGCAGTTGCGGCCACACCAGAACAGCAACATAAGCTGCATTTTTCCAACTTCAAACTTCCCGTTAGCCTTCCGAAATCATCCCGAGACCCTCAGGACCTCAACAAAAAATACCAACAAGTCCTATATCAACATACAAACTAAGTCGAACCTTCGAATCACTCAAAACAATATCCAAACACCAAATTACCCTCTGATTCAAGTTTAAGAATTTCTAAATTTTCAAATTCGGTAACCGATACCGAAACCAATCAAACCACGTTCGAATGACCTCAAATTTTGCACACACGTCACAAATGACACTACGAACCCACTCCAACTTTCGGAATTCCATTCCGACCCCGATATCAAATTTTTCAATGCCGACCAAAATCTCCAAATTTCCAATTTTGCCAATTCAAGCCTAATTCTACCACGAACCTCCAAATCACATTTCGGACGCACTCCTAAGTCTAAAATCACCTAACGGAGCTAACGAAATCATTAAAATTTCAATCTGAGGTCAAATACTAAAGAGTTAAATTTTGGTCAACTCTCCCAATTTAAAGCCTCAACAATGAAATTCCTTCTTCCAATTCAATTCCGAAATACCTGCGACCCAAAACCGACGATTCACACAAGTCAAAGTACATCATACGGAGCTACTCATGCCCTCAAACAACCAAGCGAAGTACAAATATTCAAAACGACCGGTCGGGTCGTTACATACTATCACCAAACTAATGAAAATAAGGCATGCAACATGCTATAACATGTTAAATTATGGTGAGAGTGTAAAAGAATCGTTATATTATCTGTATATATGAGTTAATTAGTAAAATATAAATAAACTGCCAAATACATTATGATCGATACTTAATCATTTAGCTTGTAAAAAGTAAAAACTGACCACAAAAAATAAACAATTTGATACAAAGGATAAAGAATAAGCATGTATCACAAACAAATGCACCCCTACTAACATATCGCTACTCAAATAGTAATCTACCATTATTGTCCCTCTGAGTTTAATTCTCAAGTTCAATTCTTCACAAATAGAAAGAAAGCCCCATTCAGTTCTTATCCAATACTACAAGTAGCATTTTTTCTGTAATTTTTTCTAAGCAAATACACTTTCATTTATATTTGCATTTTCAGTTTCTCAACGAACAAATATAACTTGCTTTATCGATGAAAAAAAAGTTTAAAAAGCCAACATAGCCTGTTTTTGTTAATGTTATCCAATAGATCAAACAAACCAAAAATATGGATTTTTTAACCTCTCACTTGGTAAATGGTTCAGTCGATTTATATCTTTGTATGGTATTACAACAATAATACAAAATTAATACTAAACGATAAGTACTTATCTGAGGTTAGAGCAACTTGGTCAGGAGTCTAAGGATAGTTGATTACCTAAGCGGCAAGTCGCTTTCGCCAATCCGTAAGAGTTTTCTTCATCTGAAAATGAGAAGAATAAAATGTAATGATGAGGGAAGCAAAAAATTTCCAACTTCTTTAGTTACTTGGAATTTGTAAAAGGCAGGGGAAAAAATAACGGTTATGTAAGGAAAAAACTACTAAACAGAGAAATAGCTTTTTAGAACAATTGTGTCTGTAATTGTGACTATTCCTATCTCAGATTTTTTTTAACTACTGTTAGATGACCTTTAGATGTGATCTTTCAAATTTTAATAGAGTACTTAATAAAGAAAAAAGGCAAAAATTTAAGAAAAAAGATTAATGGGAATTCTAGTCCCTAAGAAGTATCATGTCAACATTCTTTGGCCCTCCTTTATATATACAGAGATTGTATAGTCCGATACAAATTTTTCTGTCCCTTATATCTATGTTAGGGAAATGCTGACAAATCCAAAATTTAAGGTGCAGATTCTTCAAAACCTAATGCTTTCGGTTTAAATTATGTATACGTACTTGGAAATTTTGAGGTGTGTATTTATTTTCAAACTTCTTTTGCACAAATAGCCCGCTATATTTATTGTTTATTTTTTTTAACCATATACATAGATTATACGTTCATTATACACATATAATACATAAATTATGCATGCATTATACCCGTCGGCTATTTTTAGTTTAAGCGGTTAGGTAGACGGCTATTTGTGTTAATTCTTCTTGTTAATTTGGACCAATTAATGGCATGTAGATATATTATAAGTTTTGTCATATATAAACACCTCCCCGTTACATGACCAAAAAAAATGCATTGATAAATGAACGACGGAACTCAACTTGTGAATAGAGCTGGACAGAAAATTGAAAGATTCGTCTGGTTCAATCAGATAAATTATCTTCAACGTATAAATTGGTCTAGAAATTCTCTACTTCAATATTACGACATAAATAAATTATCGGGAAAAACATTAGGGAAGAAAGCCGTTTTTTTCCTTTAATGAAAAATATTTTCCAAGGTAATTCCTTTGTGGTGTTTGGTTGCCAGAAATTGACTTATATAGGGAAAAAAACAAATCGAAAAAACTGAATTCAAAAGAGTAAATCCAATGAAATTGACCCTAATAGCAAAAACAAAACAAAAAAATAAATGGAATAGCATATAAAACCAAACAAGAAAACAGAATGATCAGTCACGTAACAAACTAGAAAGGAAAAAGATGCACTCGTGATTCATGTGAAAGACAGGAAAATCCTAGTTTCACATGTTCTGTCAAATAAGGTTAAAGAAAGAAAACACAAACAAACACAAACATAAACACAAACACAAACACAAACACAAACGACACGTCTTGAATCATTTTGGATGGAATCAAACTAAAGATTCCAATTTCTATAACATCAACAAAAATGGTTGATTTTTCTTTTTCTTTTGTCTTTTTGCATATTAAACTAATCATTGCCACGTTTGCATGACTCGGGCGATGAGATAATGTTTCATTATTTTAAAGAATATTAACTAAGAAGGTATTTTATAATGGGCAATGTGTACTCTAATATTTAGGTGATTCTTTTGAAAATTTAATAGGATTGCCAAAAGAAAAACAGTCAAGGAGTTGCAATAAGAAAATATTATATAAAATGTTATTCTTAATATTTCTTGATAAACCATTCTGCAATAGATAAATTCAAGTATATACCTAATTTGGTGTTTTTAATTTTAAAATGAATTCGATCTTTACCCTATGAATTGAAGTAAAATATTTAAAAGATTTTGGATGGAAGTGTAGTGGTTGTATTTGTTATATAAGTTTAGTAACTAGTACTATGCTTTACTTCAAGTCTTTAATATTAACATATAAAGATACAACATAAGTACATAGCGCTTTTTCTACATTTTTAAAAACCATTTGTTTTATATGTCAATACATCGAATGAGTACAATGAGTTCTCATCAATTTCAAATGGTATGTTTCATGTGTTAAGTGTTAATGTAACATTTTAGACGAATCTCATTTTAATAAAATACGATAGCGTACATAATATATAAGGAAGCATAACTTGATCCTAATGATATGTCTTGAAACCGCACCCCTAAATTTGAAGTGGACTAAGCTATTGTGCACATACATTATTTAACAAAACACAAAAGACTACACTCTCTTTATTTTAAAAAAATAAACCATTTTATTATTTGGGGAGTCAAATAAGATTTTGTTTGACCATATTTTTCTCAAATAGTTTGTAAACATTTTGAACTGTTAGCTATGGTAACTTATAGTATTTTTTATGTAGTTTCTAAATATATAAATTTTATTTTTCAAAAAATCTTAAAGAATTTATGTTCGAATTGAAAATTAATCAATTTAATCTATGTACTCTGAAAAGATTCAAACAAATTGAGACGGATGAGTAGACAATATATACAAGGAAGCATGACTTATCCAGTAATGCGTGCAGGGGCATATATATGACTAAGGACATGGGTTCACGTGAATCAATATTCGTCTCCCTAAATCATATATAATAATGTTATATTTTTTTAAAATTATTTAAATATATGTGTGTACACCCATGTTCAAAGACTCCTATGATACAATAATTATAGAGTGTACCTCTACGAGTAAAATTAGCAGTTCAAATCCTACTTCTCGCAGTCTTATTTTCGGCACGGAGCCTTGATATATACGTGAAAATTACTAAAAATTTAAAAAGAATGTAATTTTGAACCTATAATTTAAAAAATATAGTGAGTTCACATTAACAAACTAAAGTTAAACACGTAATCCAAAATCCACTTCTTCACAATAATGCATTCATCCTCTTGAAATTATGAATCCGGCTCTAACGTCGACTAAAAAAGAAAAAGTAGAGGAAGAAAAAATATATTTTTATATCTTCACTTGGAAAATATTCCAGTACTTTTTTGTTTTCTTTTTTGGAAAGATCTTAGGTATATACGTGGAAATTTTAATCCTTTAAAAACACCATTCTCCTAGCTTACTTGACAACTCCAAAAACTCTCCCCCCTCACTCTCCAACACACACACCAGAGCAAAACAAACAAACAAAAATGGAGAATTCCATAGAAATGTTTGACGTAATAGTAATAGGAGCAGGCATAATGGGCAGCTGCACAGCTTATCAAACATCAAAACGCAGCCAAAAAACACTCCTTTTAGAGCAATTTGATTTCTTGCACCATCGCGGTTCTTCTCATGGCGAATCAAGAACCATACGTGCCACTTACCCCGAAGATTACTACCCGAAAATGGTCTTAAAATCCGAAACCCTCTGGAGAGAAGCCGAATCCGAAATCGGATACAAAGTTTACTTCAAGACTTCACAGTTTGACTTAGGTCCTACTGATAACAAAGCTCTTCAATCAGTTATCTCTAGCTGTGAGAAAAATTCAATCCCCGTTCGCGTTCTTGATAATAAACAAGTGTTTGACGAATATGGTGGATTGATTCAGTTGCCAGAAAATTGGGTTGGTGTTGTTACAGAATATGGTGGTGTTATTAAGCCTACAAAAGCTGTGTCCATGTTTCAAACACTTGCTGTTAAGAATGGAGCTTTTTTGAAAGATAATATGGAAGTAGTTGAAATCAAGAAAGTTGAAGGGGGTGTTTTGGTTAGTGTTAAAAGTGGTGAGGTGTTTTGGGGTAAAAAATGTGTGGTGACAGTTGGACCGTGGATGAAAAAGTTAGTTAAAAGTGTAACAGGAATTGTACTTCCAATTCAACCTTTGGAAACAACCGTTATGTATTGGAAGATTAAAGAAGGGTATGAGTCAAAATTCACTATTGAAAATGGTTTTCCTACTTTTGCTAGTTACGGAGAGCCATACATATATGGAACTCCGTCGCTTGAGTTTCCGGGATTGATTAAAATTCCAGTACATGGTGGGCGTCTTTGCGAGCCAACAGATCGAACGTGGACGCCCACAGTATCGCTGGATCCACTGAAGCAGTGGATCCAGGAGAAATTCGGAGGCTTTGTCGACTCCACAAAACCGGTCATGACACAGTCATGTATGTATTCTGTGACCCCAGATGAGGATTTTGTGATTGATTTTCTTGGTGAGGAATTCGGAGAGGATGTGGTAATTGCTGGTGGATTTTCGGGGCATGGTTTTAAAATGGGGCCAATTGTTGGGAAAATATTAGCTGATCTTGTTATGGTTGGAGAAGCAAAAGATGTGGAATTAATGTACTTTGGGATTAAGAGATTTGAGAAGAATCCTAAAGGAAATTTGAAGGAATTTGATGATCAAGTGAGTTCAGCTCATTCACTCTCTTAAGTGTAGCATATGTTAATTTGTTTGTCTTATTCCATTGGTATTGTGGCAATTGTACCTATGTGGTATCTTATCACAAGGATATGGTTATTTAACTCTCACCAATCAGGCCAAAGTTTAACTTGTTTGTTGTTATTTGGAAATTCTAATAATAATTTTACTATAATTTCTTTCAAATTTATGAGCTATAAAATTATAATGTATACTCTCTCCGTTTTAATTTATGTGAGCATATTTCTTTTTTAGTCCGTGCCAAAAAGATAACCACTTTTTTTATTTGAAAATAATTTACCTTTATACAATGNCTATATATATATATATATATATGCGCCTCATTTTATACCACAAGTTTAAAAATCTTCACTATTTTCTTAAACTTCATGCTCAATCAAATGAGTTCATATAAATTAAAACGGAGGGAGTATTAGTTAACTAGATCTTGCTATGTCAGTATACCAATGTAATGAAAAAGAGTTAGTACTTTTTTAATTATCCCCTTTTAAGATCCTTGAATTTTTTTCTTTTATTTTTATTTTGTTCATGTTGCGACTTTCACAATATTTAGCTGGTCATTTTGTAATAGGGGTGGGTACTCGGGTAATTCACACTGGATATGAAAATTTTGGCTTGAATTTTGATTTTTGAATTAAAGAAATTATAATTCAAATAAAATCGGATTAGATAGGATTTTTTAAAGTTCGGTTTTGGAATTGGCAATCAGTTTGTGTGCTTGGAAGATAAGAAAGGATAAACAACTGGGGAATTGGAATTGGCAGTCAATTTCAATGCTGCAAACGTGTGAATAGGGAGATACAATTATTGGTACCAAGTCAAACTCAGGACCACCATTCCTTATAAAAAGAGAGTCAAATAAAAGAGAGTTTCTCATCAAAGGAAGTGGACTCTAACAAGCATGTAATAAACTAGATCCCTTTTCCTATGTATAATTAGAAAAAGATCATGTAAAAATCATGAAAATTTGGAAAAATATTTCCCTCTTTTTTATAGGGAAGTTATTTTACTCCAATTGGAAAAAAATGAGTTCAATGAATAAAATTATTTAAGTTAATCAAACCTGAAAAAATTGAAATATATTTTCTAGAAAATATTTTCATTTATACTAAACACAACCTAGATGGAAAGTTCTATTTTCTGCTTGAGGACCGACGACTTTGTTGGTCACAACTAGTATTACTTTTTTGACAAAAAAATTACAGAAATATAATATTTTTTGGGGTGAGCTTTAATTTTTGAACCCCGCTTGTCCATAGGAAGAATTTTAAGGTTAAAAGTGGTGCCCATAAAGTAAGCGAGGGATAATACTTGTTAAACTTAAAATTCTGCCCACAGGACAAACATAGACAAAAATTCAAGACAATATTCCGTTTTTCTTTTTGGCCCAGTTATTCACAATAGGCAACATTTTCTAGTTTCAGGTCACCACTTTGAGTCACGTCTTCAAGTGTTAGATCAACCTAACTCTAATATCAATAATTATAGTTGTGTTTGGCAGCTGATATAAAATTTTCAAATTTGAAGCAAGTGTTGGATGAGATGGCTTTCCACTTGAACCAAATTAATACTAAGATGGAATGTGCAAATATTCACATAAAATTGTGGCTCAGGGTTTATCAAAACGCAATACTTTCGGCTCAAAGCATAAAATTATGAGTAAAAAATTATTAAAATTATAATTAAAAGAATATCTAAACCTATAATTTTAAAAAATTTAAATTTTAATGAGTTCAATACTAAAATTTTTAAAGGTTGAACTCATATACTTTAAATCCTGAATCTGCTTCTACTTGTAGGTCTACATATAATCTGCTGAAATTATTGTTTCATGTCAGATGTAGAGCCACAAAAGCTCAAGGATGGTTAATAATGGACACCATTCGTCAGAGAATTATAATGTATGTATAAAAAATTATATAATGTATAAAAGTTAGATATTATTTTTATACATTTATATATCTATATTATATTAAAAGTACGAAGACCCTTAGCGAAATGTCGTTCGCCTTTTTTATCCTTTAAAAATAGAGTTTAGACTAGACAAAATAGTAATTTAATTATTTCCCTAATAGTTATGATTTTTTTTATTTTCCTAATAGTTAGCAATTTAATTATTTTCCTAATAGTTAGGATTTTTTACTTTTCTAATAGTTAGGACTTTTTATTTTCCTAATATTTAGGACTTTAAATCAACTAAAATTATAGTTATTAAATACTTTCTTATTTGAATTATTTAGAAAGTCCTAATATTTAATAATTTAAAATCAAATAAGATTTTATTTATGTAAATATTTTCCTTACTTGAATTGAATAAANTATATATATATATATATATATATATGTGTGTGTGTGCTTCTTCCCCATAAAAAAATTAGTCAAAACAATCTATTATACGCTACTTAGAAGCTCAAATAACTTGAGTTCGTTGCTTTTGGGAGATGCTAACAGACTAGCAGACAAGATAAAGAATTGGGAAAGACCATGAACTGGGGCTTCAATCAATAAAAAAGGTCTTGACTTTTAGAATTTAATACATTTCAGATCCTTTTTAAAACTTTTGAGTAATTACCAAGCTGAATTTTAAAAATTTGGGTATTATATGAAAGACTTATTCAACAAATTTTGTTTTAATTTGAAAAAATATCTGGGGATTGCGCCTCGCTAAAAAAACTCGCCTCAAATGCGGCGTACGCCACGAACGCCGGACGTACGTCCTGAATTGCTGGGCGTACGCCTCTTAAGACTTTCGCCCTGGCGCGTTTTTGGTGTGCCTCGCCCCAAAAACGTCTTTTAGAACACTGATTACTCCCTAGTTTCACCGTCTAATTAATCCTCCAGTTTTTCGTTATTTACGGGTTAGGTTGATGGTATTCCTAATATGAAAATCTTGTATAAAATATAATTACTTAGGGGGTACTTTATGCTAAATCGAATGTGAAATAAGAATACGCTTATTAGCCATGTAGGCAGTGAATTATTTAAAAATAAAAATATCTTTTTAGAATAAGTAATTCGTGTATAACACTTTTTTTATTATTAATCATTGAATTAAAATTCTTTCATTATTAATTATTATATAAACAATCCCTCCATTATATTCCTCGCATAACTAACACTTGAACCAAATGATCCCTTGGTGTTTTGTTAGTCACAAACTAGAAGTGAACTATAAGATACGATTTTGCAGTGTTTTACAAATATTAGTATCTTAATAATTGTACGTGATGATTTATACATTTATTTATATGAATGAACAATAAAATTTAATTAATGAGAGAAATTTTATGTATAATAATACAACAATCGTCTAAATGCTGAAAAATATGATTACATTAGCGTAATACATGAATTTAAAATAAAAGGACATCATCAAAACCTACACAAATGATCAAGTTTGTCATGTTAGTTGGATAATTATGTATTATAGTTTAACAGTATTTAATGTGATGATATCTTAACGAATACTTCTTTGTGGATAATATTTTTTTGTGTATGTTTCCTCCTAATGCTTTGGTTGCTCTACCTTAACCAGAACTATTGTTGTCGATCTTGATATCTCTCTTGAAAGTGCAACATACAATTGTTTGTGTAAGAAAATATACTGCGATAAATATAGTCCAATATTTAGGATGTTTGTCCTTGTGCTTTATTTATTATATTTGCAAAACATAAACATACTAAAAATTATTTTCACACAAATTTAAACTGATATTCCTTAGTTTCGGAAGACGAAAGTTGAATTCAAGGATAAGAATATACTTAGAAGCACATTGACCGGTATCATAATTTTTGCATGTAATGTTATTATCAAAATTTCTATATACCACATGTGTGCTATTACATAAGCTATTCGGCGTATCTAAATTTTTCAGTAGCATTACATACATATTTTTCTTCAAAATCAACCTATATACAATGGAAGACCAATTTTAACTTAGTCTATTATATAAACGGTGGCACTAACATACGTAAGAACGAATAAACTTGACAACAAACATGTATGGTAGAAGGTCATTTGGTATTAAAGTATTTAAGTATTCTTCTTGGTAGAAATTATTGATATCATTTTTTGTGGAGTCAAACACAAAATAACATCTTGTTTTTACTATAAAATTCTGCAATCAACCTTTTATTTAGTTGATAACATATTTATTTCTGCTAGCTACGATATCTTTTTAATTCTATCATGCCATTTTGCACAAATTACATTTTAATCTAATGATAGAACTATTTCTCTTATTAAATGCACTACTATTACCATTGGGATTGATAACCAAGTGTTCATGAAGAATCAAATAATCTTTTAATTGATGCTCTTCTTCGTTTCTGACACGAAGCAAGAAGGCATTAAATACTGGATCTGTTCTTACTTTATATTTCTTGTCAGTTGAATCTTTTTTATTTGAGGCTAGAAGTATAACTTTGGCAAGCTAACTTTTACGGTCTCTGCTTTTGTCGATTTTAGAACTACTGGTAGTACTTGACATAAATCACATCCCAAACCATTAATTTTCATCAAACGGTTCATTAATATCTAATGTATCTCTAGAACTTTGGGCAATTATTTCGATCGTTTGATACTTAGCCATAAGTGTTTCATCCCATATTATCAATTTTGCTTTCCTTATAAATTTAGCACCATTGTTCTTCTTTGATATATTAGTGATGGTTATTTAAGTTGTTTGAAGAGGTATATCAAATCTAAAGTGGGTGACATCACAATAAAATCGTTGTTGGTACACCATTAGCTTTTAATGCTAATAGTATCATGCCTTTTGATATGATATTTGCAAGTAATGCATGACATAGAAATATTATTTCGTTTCCGCTGGAGGCATCTACAAAGAATAATCCCGTTGTAAACCGACATTATATTCATCATTTTATAATAATATAGATTATTTTAGCTATTTGAGTTTTTTTATAAAATATCAATGAAAAAATAATACTCCTAAGCTATCTATAAATAAATATTTATGTGGTCATTTTTTTAATTCAAATTATGAGTAGTTATTACTTATTGGGAGATCATGTCCTCTATTTTTTCAAACTTTAAGGCCCAGGCCCATTTTTGAGTTTCAGCTTTCTTGGGCTTAACCCAGTAAGTCCAGTTTTCAAGCCCATTTCATATCCATTAGTTATCCAATTATTGACCCTAAAATATCTCTCTATACATTCCCTATTCATATTCCTCACTTTCTCAGCAAATCGGGGTGGCCTAGGGTTTTTTTGTTGTTGTTGTTGCAGTTCTTCACTAGGGTTTCAGGTTCCTCTCTCCTCTTTCATCAATCTCCAACCTGTAGATCTGTATGCTTTGATCTGTTATTTTAATATTGAAGTTATTACTTCTTCTCCTATCTTTAGATGCTTAATTTTGTGAGTTCCGCGAATCATAATTTTGTTGGAAGTTTCACAGAATTGGAAAAAAAAGTTTTTTATTTTATTTAATTTGATTATGTTACGGATATTTAGGATAGTTTTGTATGATTTTTTTGTGTATGAAAATAGTGTTTCATTGAACTCTTCAATTGATGCCCTTTATTGTGATTAATTTCTAATCTGTGCATAGTTTAAGCAGCTTTATAGGTAACTGTTTTTATTAAGAGCTTAATTTATATACACCGGGCAAAGAATATTTACAGGTGTAAAGGAAATCCTACACTGCTCTACACTTCATAAAAAAATGGGACTTGTAATTTAGAAAATAAAGCAGGTTACTTGCTAGAACAAATAAAAATGACCTGATAGTGTAAAATTTCTTTACACTTGTACTGTATATAATACTCTTTTGGTATAATCGAGCTGGTGACCAGTGTAACATGATATTACATCATCAGTGTATACAACTCAAATCTGCAATAATATAAGCATACTACAGTGCTACCAAGAAAATAGAGTTGAAAATACCCATTTGTTTCCGAGGATTTTGGTGAATTTCTGACAGTGCAATTCAATTTCTTAGTTATTAATGTGATAGGTTCTATTCATGTTTGCCTGAAATCGGTGTTCTTTAATAGGTTATTATTCCGAGATGTCAAGGGTGTATGTTGGAAATCTTGATCCTAGGGTCACTGAAAGAGAACTGGAAGATGAATTCCGTGTCTTTGGAGTTATAAGAAGGTAAATCAAATTATACACTGAATTCTGCATTTGTAATTCGTGTGCTTTGAAATTATTTGCATATTCTACAAGTTAGTTGAATTGAAGAGAGAGTAACTACCTCTTATGTATAGGATTTTTGGTGCAACTTTATTTTGTTTTTGGCTGTTGAATACTGCCTATGCAGTAGAGTAACTAAATATTTTGCTTACAACTACTACCTATTATAAGTAGTTGCTAGTTATTCGTTCTACATTGCTTGGATTGTTTGGTAGATTCCTTCGTCAGTTCTTGGATGACGTGTGCACTAATAATCTAACATGGAGGAGCATTAAAGTCTTATTTTGTGATCAGCTAAAAGAATTTATATTAGTCTAGCTTCCCAGCTTGCTGAGTATACCTGTGACCTGTCTCCCTGAAACAGTACTTATATGCAATGGAGGTTGTATTTTGCTAATTTTATAAAAAATGAGTGTAAAATACACCGCAAGTGCATTATTTCCTAATATTCATAACTAACTTATGAAGGAAGTTTCTAATGAAATGGGATGTGGTATAAAATTTCCATGCTTTTGTTGCTATTTGATGTGTTGAGTCTGTGCTGCGTACTCTTCTGAATAAAAAAACACTGATTAATGGATGTCAAAGAAAGTGATATGTTGAGATTTAAACCAAAGGGATTTGGCTTATTAATTCTAGATATTAAGAGCATTGGTTGCACTTCAGTATCACTAGAGGTTATTTCATTTATGGAATTTGACTCCTTATTTTTTCGATCATTCTTCTTGCTATAATGCTTTCTGATTAGCACACTTGATCCAAAAATATAAATACTTGCAGTGTTTGGGTTGCAAGACGCCCACCTGGTTATGCTTTTATCGACTTTGATGACCAAAGAGATGCACGCGACGCAATCAGGGAAATTGATGGTATGGTTCCTTACTCCTGCATATTGTTCAACCTTCTTTTTGGCAGCCCGATGTACTAAGCTCCCGCTATGCGCGGGGTCCGGGGAAGAGCCGAACCACAAGTGTCTATTGTACGCAGCCTTACCCTGTTTTTCTGCAAGAGGCTGTTTTCACGGCTTGAACCCGGTCACATGGCAGCAACTTTACCATTTACGCCAAGACTCATATTGTTCACCCTTCTGAATGGGTTTATTTATCTTATTTATGGCCATGCAAATTTTAGCCTTTTCCGGTGTTCAATCCCTTTTGTTTTATATTTTAGGTTGATAATCACTTTTATTTTTATGCTGTCGCTCTATACTATAGATTCTGTAGTGTTCAGCAAATATGTCGGGAATTGAAGCATTTGATGGTGTTCTCTTCCTTATACATTAAACAGGGAAGAATGGATGGAGAGTGGAGCTCTCGCACAATTCTAGAGGAGGAGGAGGAGGAGGCCGCGGAGGTGGTCGCGGTCGCTCTGGAGGCTCTGATTTGAAGTGCTACGAGTGCGGTGAGGCTGGTCATTTTGCTCGTGAGTGCCGAGGGCGTGGAGCTCCTGGAAAACGTAGAAGTCGCAGCCCTCCTAGATATCGGAGGAGCCCAAGTTATGGTCGCAGGTCAGAAGAAAACTTCATTTCCAATATACAGCAGGACATGACAAATTCGCTTTTCCCCTCCTGATTTCCTTTTTGAAACAGGAGTTATAGTCCTCGTGGACGTTCGCCCAGACGCCGAAGCCCATCGCCTCGTGGTCGTAGCTATAGCCGATCTCCTTACCGTGGACGAGATGAAGTTCCTTATGCCAATGGGTGAACTTACTAACTTGGGAATCTTTTATTGTGTCATCTCTGTTTATTGGACATTCTTTTCTTAATAATGTGTAAATTTGGTTAAAGTTTGGTATTTAGATACTTGTGCATGTATATGTATTAGGATTTGTCTCTTGAATTGTTATTTATATTATTTCGTATCCATTTGGTCCATCATGCCTTAGTTCGTGTAGCATTGGTATTGTCAGTGTTGTTACCTACTTATTTTTGGTTTTTGAATCGGGATGTTTGGTCTCATGCAATACAAACTTGTTATATTATTTATTCATTCGTATTGATAAAGAATGTTGTCTTTTTCCTTAGCTTCTCTTCTGCTTTGTATGCAGAAATGGCCTCAGGGACCGAATCAGAAGCAGGAGCTGAATGGAAGAGATGATTTCTTGTCTCGATCAGGAGTTTTTGGATGTGTTACTATGCTTGACTTAGTCGCAGCTGTGTAAGTGAGGCCATGCCCTCAACTTAAACGGGTTTCAATTTCGTTTAATATTATAAGTGTGTTTTTTATTTTCTTAAACTTTTTCCCATTTTAAGAAGCACTATCTTAGGGACTTAGACCTTATGTATTTTATGGCATCTATTACTTTTAGAGAATGAAAACGTCTTATGAATGCTGCTAAAAATTTATTTTTGTTTCTTTGTGTTGAGGTGTCTTCTGCTACTGCTTCGTTGGTTTTCTGCTCCCACACTCTGTGGTTTCGTTCTTCACTGCCCTGCTGTGGGATCTTCAATTTCAAAGATTGTGGATCCCAGCTAGCTACTACATCACTATGCTTCTGTTTGATTGAATCTCTGCGGCTATGACACGCCTCACCTCAAAGTGTAGTGGTAATTTAAGTAGATATTAAGGATGATGAATGGCATCACAGTCAAATGGCAGGTACCTAATCTGTTACAGAGTGGTTTGAGGAACTCACATTCTTGTTAAACAATTGATCGCCACTTCAGCAAGGTCGTGGGGCTGGGTATCTGAGAGTTATGAATCTTACTCATGGAAGTTCCTGGCATCGAGGATTGCATCAACCTATGGGCCTGTGATTCCCTTTGCTTTTTATGCTGCTGCTATCCTCTTTATTTTTTTCCCTTTTTAAAAAATAAAAATCTGCTTCTCTTTATTTGATTTAAACTATTTTGTGTTCTTTTTCTTTTCATCATTTCTTTATCAAAAGCTTCCCTTTTTCCTCAGCATTATCTCTCCGTGTTTATGGGGAGAAAGGAACAAATTTTTATCAAAATATTGCTAGTCAGTTTGACTAATTTTCAAGATGTAAACTTCTCCGCACAAATTAACATAGAAGTTTTCTTTTTTATAAGTGGCCTTATAACCTACTACAGAGTTTGCATTAAACCAAGTAAGACCTGTGGTACACTTTGCTTTGGTATGCTGTATGTTCCTGTTTTTCTCTTTCTTTTGGTTTTAATGATATTTTTTTCCCCTTTAAAATTTGTTTTGTTTTGTGAAAAGTTTCGCGATATAAACTTTCTTTTCTTCCCAACAAGTTCTGGAGAAGTTTCGTTTTGCTTAAAGCCCTTGGTTTTGTAAAAATTTAGAAGAGTGAGTGAATTGCTTGGGAGTGATTACATCAATCTCCATTTAATTGACCTATAGTGTGGATTGTTTCATTGCCCGCTTTGACCCCCTGGGATACATCATTGAGCTGACTGAGGTTTTCAACCCCGATAGAGCTTCCCTGCCTTCAGGCCTTCGTCTCTTCGTACTGGTTTTTGTCCTTCCACAGGACGGGCTGCTTTGTTGCCAGCTATTGGTAGAAATTCAAGTCATTAAACCTTGTCTCTTTGCCCCTCACCCTTCCCAAATTTCCTGCTTGCAGCAGCGTTGAGCATCGTACTAAGATCTATTTTTGTATTCATACAGTTTGAAATGTTAAGGTTTTTCACCAGTTGCCTAAATTGTTATATTGTGCTAGCCGTAACAATCTTCAGTTTTTGCACGTCTACTTCACATGTATTTTCAATCTGTGAGAGGTTCATGTCTTGAGAATAAAGAGGGGAATAGGCTTAGCCACCCTTTTCTTGAGGATTTTGCCCCGTTTTGACATTTTAATTATCAGATTTTTATTGCTAAACTATACATAGATATTTGCAAGCTAGTAATGGACTTGGGGTGTTTCTTTGTTCAGTAGCATTAACACTTTAAATTTCTTTGCTTGAATTGTCACATTAGGGGTATGTTGAGTTGCTTGAGTTTCAGTATTATGTTACCGATTTGGTGTTGTTCAACTTCATTGGCTTTCATCTTTAAAAAAAACATCAGCAGGATAAGTTTTTATTACATCCGTTTCAATTTATGTGAATCTATTTCTTTTTTAGTTCGTGTCAAAAAGAATGATCTTTTTCCTTATTTGGAAACAGTTTACCTTTATGCATTGATTTATAGTCATATCTCATTTTATACCACAAGTTTAAAATTCTTTTTTTTTATGCTTAAATGTCATGTCCCAGTCAAATGGGTTCACATAAATTAATTGAAATTATTACTGTACACTTTATTCTATTTTATATGGCATATTTAGGAGGAAAATACTATTGCTTATGGCCATATTTAATACTTCAAAAATAAATAGTCATTTTGTAACATTTTTTATACTGTTCTAAATATGCAAGTTTATTGAAAAAAGTTGAAATATTTTGGGTTTATATTATACTAGTATACGTACTCGAGATGCGTGGATCGATTCAAAAAAAAATAGCGAAGATTAAATTTAGGCAACAAAACAAATAGATGAATTTTATCGGGTTGTCTCTATATTATTGTTGCGTAGGACTACCAATCCCAAGTTACTTGTGAAAAAAGGGCTTGAGTTAAAAACTTAGCAGCAAGAGAAGAATATGAAAAAAAAAATTAACCTCAAAAAGTTTAATTTTTTGATGAGGCGAAAAACCAACTAACTAATTTAGCTTTGCTAATATATCCATCGGCTTGCCACTTCCTGTTAATAAGCTACCTGACAACAAAAAGAAAATTAAAGAGAGACAAAATAAATACTCCGACTAATCCATAAGGACTTAAAGTATGCTTCTATATTAGTTGATCAAATAACTCGACCAACTTACTTGAATTGCCATCAATAGAATTTTTAAGTACCTCAAATATTAGGGGTTAAATTTGATAAGAACTATTTCATTATAGTCTGCTCAGAATCTTGTAACCACAAAAGCTACTAGTGGCATAAGGAGTCTATCCGATATTAAAGAATAGATTTGATTTACCGGAGAAGATGAATCTCCAGTAAATCATCCAACATTTTGCAATTTTCTTTTCAATCCTTTCTTCATCAACGATATGAACTAACGCCGAAAGAATAGCACTTGTCTGCAAGAAATACTCTGCAATTTGTGAAAAGTATAAAACGTGATTAAATGACAATATAAGACTGCAATTTGCAATTCAGTCTATAACATAAGATTTACATCACCTTCGTCTAATTGGAATACTAAAAACATGAAGCAAATGAATTGGTTTAATAGAATTGCAAATAAACAATTCAGAGTAAGATTTGAACCGCCAACTTCACTCGTAGAGGTGCACCAAATTGTGTCCTTTAAATGAAAGCAATTTAGATATCCAGACTCACTCATTAGAAGAACGGTATGGTAGATGAAGATGTAATACATAGAATTCAAAACCGGATGACTAAAATGGAGGAGCCTTGCGGGCTAGCAACGTGAGTGCGACTTATTAGAACAATTGGAAGACCAACAATGTTACATGTGTGTAAATACTGAGCCTAGGTGTCTTAGAAATTTGAATGCTATGAGGGTAATACCAGATTATACGGGATTAGAGATGATTGCGTTGGCAGAGAATGCAACTAACTCACGAAACATGTATATAATAAAATGAATAAGTTAGCCTAAGATGATTTGGTTATGCTCCACGTATTCCTACAAATACATCATTTCGTACGTGTGACACTACAGACACATCATTTCATAGTTCTACTTACCCTCAGTTTATGTTCTTCAAAATTGAACTGACAGTGGTGTCCAGTGACTCTGCAGGACAATTTAGTTGAAGGTATAGTTGCATCACTGTCCCTGGTCTATTTTTCTTTACAACTTTGATCTCTCACAACTGATTTAAAAGATGCTGTATTTGAGGTATAATACAACCGCTTAGAAAAATAAAGGCATCAACATCCAAAAAATTGGTGCATGATTCATTCCCCAGCATCTCATTTCCTTCTTATTTATGGGGTACTTGACTTTGTGTCTATATGCATGTGAGGATTGATAAACTTGAAAGAACTTTAGGTTAACCAATAACGTCAAAGTTCTTTTAACTTTAAGTTACAAAGTATTAAGATATAATTTTCAAAATTTCAAACGAGCTTATTGCTAAATCTGCACGCCTTTGCTCTTATTAGATTTACTTGAGAGGTTTGATAAGTTATAAATGAAGGTAATAGTTCTCTGTTTTTAGCTGTCCCTGAGTTTCGCTAAAGTTAAGATAGTTGTAGTTAATCACTGAAAAAACTAAGATCTATTTTTAATAGTTCTCAGTTTTTAGCTTATCGCTAAAGTTTCACTTTGTTTTGAAGTTCTTTAAAATCTGAGTTTGTTCTTTCGCAGTTAAACACTTAAAAAGCACCATAGACTCGAGAAAATCTACTTTTGTTTACAAGTATTGTATGAAAGCTAGAATATGTAGATTAATTCAATCTGGAACTAGAAGATATAAACCTCATATGTTACTGGGAAAAAAGATTAAAACCTATTCATCCTTCAGATGATATCAAATCAACATCCTGTATTCTTTCATGTATTGCATGTTCTGAAAATAACAGACTACCAATGCCTGTTTTTTATTTTTTTCAATTATTTTTTATTGGTCTAACAAAGTGGTATATTGTGGTCGATGTGTGAGGTGTAGATTTTTGAGAGTGAGGTTATGAACTAAGAGGCATTTTGTATCAGGAAATTTATGCTTTCATTTTAGTTTCCCATCTTCTACTTTAGTCTTTTTATATTAGTAGCTTTATTTAGTGTATTATTGTCACGATCCGAAATTCTCATATTCAGACTGTGATGACGCCTAACATTTTATTTGCTAGGCAAGCCAACGTTAGAATAATATTAATCAATTTTTAAATTATTAATAATCAAAGAAACAAATGTGGAAGCAAAGTTTGAAATATAGTGAATAATCCATAAAAACAACGGTGTCTAAATACCATCCCAGAATTAGCATCACAAGTGCACGAGCTTCTAGAATAAATACAAATAAAGGTATGAATAAAATAAAGCTGTTTGGAAATAAACACACATCTAAAGTAAAATAGACGGAGACTTCAGAACTGTGGACGCCATACAGTTATACCTCATGTCTCCTATGGTAGCTGAAATCCGAGCAAGTCTATGGTGCGTCGCTGGGACCAACTCCAAAATCTGCACAAAAAGTGCAGAGTGTAGTATCAGTACAACCGACCCTAAGTACTAGTAAGTGCCGAGTCTAACCTCGACGAAGTAGTGACGAGGCTAAGGCGGGTAACTTACATTACCTGTACGCAATATT